CACTGTCTGACTGAGCCTGATAAGCCTGGAGTTGCCAGAGGCTGGAGAGCAGTCTTCAAATTTATGAACAAATTACACTGCATGACATACGGTTATGGTCGCATACTGCTGAGGCCAGCACTTACACTGCTGCTGGGGAAGCACACACACACACACACACACACACACACACACACACACACACACACACACACACACACACACACACACACACACACACACACACACACACACACACACACACACACACACTGTGGAGGGAACACAAGGATTATTCAGATCCATTGGGTTGATATATTATCCTTTGATGAAAGCAGAACCTGGTCCAGTCTGATATGATAGAGACGGTTTGTCTGCTGGACGGCGGTACGTCGAAGGTCTCAGATAAAAACAATAGCTTGTTCCAACTTGTGTTTCGTTTAATAGCTTATCTGCTGCTTGTGATAGCATTGTAGTGGTGAAAAAACAATCTCAGGCCGGCCTTATAAAAATGCCTTCAATGAACATCAGCGCTGCAGCGAACCCTGGAGCCATCGGGCTCGGCAGCGCTTTGGATGAGCAGGGTACCCTAACCCTAACCCTCAGATGGACTGCACTGAGGTGCAGCGGCCGTCCAACCCACACGTGAAGTGAAATGTGTCGTTCTTGCTGCTTTAGGCGGTTAGATTTGAGTTTATAGGATAACATAGCAGTGTTATGCTGACGACACACTGTTTTACCTTCCAGCGACGTCTTGCCGATGGCAGGAAACTCCCTTGAAATGACTGAAAACAAAACTGAAGCAAACACCTTTGGTCCGCCCGGCTCTGCTGAACAAAGCGCTGTGCACCATGTACGAGGACTTCCTGTCTTCCTGGGCTCCTCTCAGGTTTAATGAACAGGTCAACAGTGTGGTGACACTTCTGTCAGCTCAGAACCATCGACTCACTGAAGCCGTGTTCATCTCACAAGGATCTAATAGCTGCTATCCAGGCGCTGGTCACTCCGTGGCTTCACTACAGTCTAACTGGAGTTATTGTAGAAAGCAGCTTTAAGGCTCTTAATGGCACAAAGCACAGACAGCACAGGGTGTGGCTCGTGTGCAGCGGCTGGCGGTGAAACACAGAACTGGGTTTAGAATCGTACCATTTGTTTAAGAAAAGCCCTGAAAGACTCCACAACACATAATCGATATGCTAGCTCCGTTTTCTGGTCTGAGGAACGGTCTCCAGATAAAAGAGGAAAGGCTTACGTTTCTTTCCCACAGCTGCAGTCGTCCACTCTCGTCATTGTTCATATCGTACGGCCTGAACCGCACCACTGAATCAGTCAGTAAACTTATTTAATGAACTCCTTTTACCAGCAGTATTTAGTTTACTTTCATTCACATCATGAATCAGGCTGTAGGGTCTCTATGCCAGTATTCTCACCAGTTCAGTAAATCAGCACCAGCCTTATTCCACCTGAGAGCTCTTTGGTTGAACAGCAGCTGCTTTTAAATGACAGTGAGTCGACTTCATCCTTGATTCGTCCCATTTACGTGAACTTTTCTCTGTCAGGTCATTACGTTACATTCGTCTAAACTCAGTGGAGAAGGACACAATCCACGTTCTATTTCAGCGGGCACGCTGATGTTCACACCTGTAAACAGAGGCTAATGGAGGAGCCTTGACCGGCTTCAGAGAGGTGCCGCTCCAACGCCACACAAAAGGCAGAATAAACATCCTTGAAGTGATAACTGGTGTACAGAATGTGTGGATGAGAAGAGAAAGGTGGAGAACCAAGGTGACATCCAGCCGTCTTTGTGTCTGAGCGTGCACTTAAAGCTCCTTTGGTGGAATCAGACACATTAGGCAGCACAAAGCTCTGCTCCGTCTCATCTGGAGTTCCTTTTAACCGCCGTGTCAACACATAAAAGCTCAGATACAACCGCCGGCCTCAGATGTTGCCTGGCTTTGTGGCAAAAGGGGCTAATGTGCTGGAACCTGCAAACCTCTGGATGTCAATCTGAAAGCCTCTGGTGACATCTAGTGGCTGGAGTGGGAACAATGGAAACATGAGGGATGGTGGTGACGGCTACAGACGGCTTCAGTTTCATTAGAAATGAATTCATCAAGATGAAAATGGCCTAATTCAGAATTGAAACCGTGCAGCGGAGTGACGAGCTGCCACCGTGGTTCCTGAATGGTTCTGTTGTTCTGGCCGCGTGCTGCCGGCGCTGGCTGATGATCAACTCCTGTTTGCTCACCTCAACGTTAAACACCGCATGCAGCGTGATGTGGAGGTGGAAGGCTTGTGTGCTGATGTGGGATCAGTAAGAAAGTGACTGATGGCAGTATCTGGACTGAGTCGGGTCGTTTCAAAGTGGACTCGTCACAGGAATGGTGGTGAATGAATTAAACCGAGTCCTTAAAGGGTAGACCTGGGCTGCTTATCTTCACACTGACCGGCACCAGCGCTGACTGACAGCCTGGTATTTTCCTGACCTTAAAATCCTCCTGGCATGCCTGGGTGGCATTTCGGTGTCCAGAGACCTCAGCGCTCAGGTGGGAGGAGAAGACAGACAGGTGGGAGGTTGATATGAACGAAGCAGCAGAGGGCAGGCTGTTCCTGTCCCGTTCATGTCCATGTGGATGCAGGAGACACGTTCTCCTCTGGTCATGATCTCTGTAGCTCCATGTGAACTTTGACCTTGAACCTGTGCCCTTGTCTCACCTCCTCAGCTCCTTTCCTCGCCTCCTCTCCTTTTCACCACAAACAGTGACATACAGTATATCATAAACACAACTGGTCAGTCCTGCTCCCAACACTTGTGTCTTTTTGTGCGCCGCAGGTGCTGCAAAGACTTCAGAGGACATGATGGCGCTCCTCCAGCTTCTGTCTTCATGATGCATTCTGGGAATTGAGACGTCCTTTGCGATGCCGTGCAGATTGATTACCAGGTCAGAGGACGGAGGATGGAAGAGACGAGGAGGCTGGAATTAGCCAAATGAATCTGGTGGTGTTTTCCACCGTCAGCTAGTTTACCAGAGGGGGCGCTGCCCTCTAACTCAAGAGAAGTTGTTTAATCACATTAAATATCCAGATAGCTGCTGCTGAACTAACACAGTTAGGACGCCCTGCTGCCTGATTGTAACTCA